TCAGATGTTGTACGAAAACATAAGTGTCCTACATTTATAATACAAAGTTATTATGGCTGTGTGTACCTTGTGTGCACCTCCTAGTGGTTAAAGCACGTTATTGAATTATTGTTATATTTGATTAAAAAAATATTAAGAGTACATACTTTCATAGGGGGAAAGTATAAATATAGAATGTAAAAAATCAAGAAGATACTCTAAGTGATCTCTACAATAAAACAGTTTAGTGCAGAATGTACAAAGATATTAATAGGAGGAGGTGTAAAACAGAAAAACGAATTAACCTTTATTTAAACATTAAATAATACTTTAGATTAAGGTCTTCTTTTAAATAAGAAAAAAACTTTGGGGGTATCTATCTACAGATAAATATTAAGCCTGACAAAGTACTTAACGTCTAATATATTGCTTTCCTGCAATGTTAACTATGTTGAAGCACTTATTTTTAACTGATATTATACATATGAATTATACTCTTATGTATGTAGATAAAATAAGACATTTGCAGAATATGACAGTTTGATGGTGGAGGTACACACATATTGATAGATGTCTTGTTGAGGAACCTGTGACCCAAGTGTTTCATTCATTGCATAACTACACCGTAGTTGTGTATATGATATGTCAATAAACCTTTGAAAATCTTGAAAGGGATGTGCAAAATAGCCATAATATACAGTCTTTAATTAACTATTAGTAGAGAATAACGAGTAATGAATATACTTTATTACTCGTTTCCATTCATGTCAATTGCAGATACATGTTTAGTCTTCTCAAGCACCAACTATCAAATATCTCTCCTGATTGTTGGCACTTGACAATCACCTTACCTGAATTTTACTCAGGTGTAACTAAAGTCTGATTTAAGGGTTGTTTATATTTCACATAATTAATCAGAATCTGCAAAGTAACTAAAATAAATGCAGTGGAGTAAAAATACCAGGTTAACCTCTGAATTGTAGTGGAGTATAATTACAAAGTAACAATGAGCTGTCATGTGGGTATTAATGCTGCGCATTATGGACACAAGCGATTTTCACCCATTTATTAATTATATGTTTTACATTTGATAACACCAATGTGTTTAATACTGACAACTTCTAATTGTGGGAAAAACAAAAACGTTCAGTAGAGACGTCCAGAACATTTTGCGAAACACAATAGCCAGCATGTGTAGTTCTGGGGGGGCGTTCGATTCCAGTTTTGGATAGTCTGGCGTGGTTTCGTTCCATTTCACACAGCTGTTTGACGCTCTGCGTAACCTTATGGGACTGTAGTCCTAAACGATAGCTGGGGATAATGGGTAGTGTAGTGTCTTCAGCCATCCTAAACTCAGAAATGTTGACAATCGCAGTGATGCTCGAAATGTCCCTTATAGGCCTACGTCTGTTTCCGGTTATTTTTATTTTGAAATTCAGTTCCTGACGGACGCCAAAAACGCCCGAGATTATGGAATTAAACCAATAAATAAAAGCAAGGATAATTGTGTGTTATTGGTGAGTAAATAACAGTGTGTTATTTTGAAAAGAATAACGAATTAGAAGGAAAAATATTTAAAAATACAGATTTCCGTATTCTGAGGCTCTGAGCCCCATTTATTTTCCTCACAGACGGCAACAAAGGTCCGAAATTATACGATTTAAAACAAAAGCAATAATTGTGGCTTGATATTGAGTAAGAACATGTTTTTATGAACCACACAGCTTCCGGTCTCCCACGACCCGACCGGAGAAAAAAGGCTTCTTTGAGACAAGCGAGACCTGCGCAGACCTGCGCAATTTCGATCAACGTCTTGCTCGTACGTTGCATGATGGTTAGTCATTTTGTCCGACTTGCTCTGGAGGCCCGCCTACATGAGACGTTGAAATCTCGCGGGACAAAGACGCCCTCAGCCTTGAGAGCGAGGCGCGGCGAGGCGCGGCGAGGCGCGGCGAGACGGCGCAGTTCCTCTCCACGGGCTGCGGAAGCGAAATGCTTAATGGGAAACGACTCGCTGGTATCTCGAGCTGAGCGCTCATTGGTGGTTTTTACCACGTGCTGGTGATGAAACTCTCCAATTGGCTCAGCAAAAGTTTGTTGTTGTTTTGTGTCAGTTTTACGTCGACACATCCATTCCCATTTTTCATCATTGTTCCACAATATTTATCATCATTAAATTAATATCCATATATTTTATACAATACTTGCACTGCTTACCATTTTCATACTTTATATATCTTAGCATATTCATTCACACTGTTCATACTGCTCACAGGCTGATATCTGTGTATTCATAGCCCTCACTGTTTATTCATCATTCAATTCATTCTATATTTTATTCTGTAGATTGTGTCCATTACTTTTCACTTTACTGCTTGTTGCACCTGGTTAGAAGCTAAACTGCATTTCGTTGTCTCAGTACCTGTAATATGTGCAATAACAATAAAGTTGAATCTAATCTTGAGCAGGAACAAATGTATTTACTTAGTACATATCTGACATTAACGATTAAACACATGTGTGCATTCTTTATAAATGCAAACCGAGTCAAGCCGACTCCGGAGGTGGCGGTATGCACCTTAAAGTTGTTTGCAATCCGCCAAAAAAACGTCTGGCCACTGACGTTGCCATAACAACGCCTGCATTTAAATGTGCAACCTCTTTTTGTGACAGATTTTGCATTAAAATATAATTCTTCTGATTTATATTTCCTATTGACAGCTAGTTTCTATGTGTACATTATGAGATGGACAGCCAGCTAACAAGCTTTTTATACAAATATTTCAGATCAAAGCCAATCCAGTGGGGCTCCTGAAAGGGAGCAAGGGACACTATGCTCCCAAATATTAAGCCTTGACCCGCATCTTAAAATTGATATGATCAAAAAATGATCTGCATTGTCGGAGGCCTTTTTTCCTCATTATCATGTCAAATTGTACAGCTTTCCTTAGTGTTGAATGCAGAAAGAGGACTATATTAGAGTATTAAGTGAAAATGACTATATTAAAGTTTTAAGTAAATATATTAAGTGAATTACTCAAACTGCATTTGTATAGGAATGATTCTGTCCTATTGGCAGATAACTACTCTAACAGTGATATCTACAAGAGATGTAAATGTAACTATTTTCAATTGGTTAGTATTACATTTTGTGACAGTGTGGTGACACTCATTTTAATGAAGACACATTTGTGTATCTTGAAATTCATTTATTTGACAGAGCTGGAAACTGATTGACTTACATACTTGTTTGTGTTTACCTACACAGTCATCACAGATGAGCCAAACAGAGTAGAGGATGAAGAAAGGAGAACAGGAGAAAGGGACACACAAGAAGGAGATGCAACAGACAAGAAAGACAATGGAGACAACAATGAACAGGAACACCAGAACAGACAAGAGTCAATGAGTAACATGACTGATTTAGGGACTGCAGATATAGGGCCAAGGCAAGTGAGACATCACTGCTTTCCATCCAGCATGTTTGGCCAGCAAAAGAGATCATTTCAACCGCAAACAGCAAGTGATGAGGGAAGCCGCAAGTGAGGAGGGATTATTATTTCCTCCTTCCATCCCTTTTTTCTGTTTAATCTGATTACTAACAACTTCTAATAATTTGACATAGTTTATGATTTAATTGGAAAATGAAGTGTTTTTAAATAATAAACCCGTTTCTGATTCTTTGATTTCTTTTTGATGGGTGTTGAGAGATGTATCCATATCTCTTAATGTTGCTCTCAAAGTGCACAAGATTGATGCTTTTAACTTCAGTATTTAAAAAAAGTCTTCCTGGGGGACCCCAGAGGAGGTGAGTTCCCCCCAAAATAGCACTATCTCTGCTTATGTAACTCCGGTGTCCCCTCGGCAACAGATCACTCAGAGCTGATTACTTTCCTGCATTTCAATGGACAGCATATAAAAGGACACGTGAGCTGCATTGCTTAAGAGATCCTCTCATGCTATCTCTTTTACAAAATAAGTGTCCAGTCAACAACAAAAGTATATTTTTCACAAGCAATGTGAAACATTAAACTTATACAAACTGGTGTACAAAACTCACATACCTGCGTTGGTCTCCTGGAGTGTCTCGACTCTTTCTTCTCCACATCTCTTGTCCACCATCAGAGATTGCAAACATTTCAGAAACAGCTAGAGGTAGGGGACAAACAACTTGTTCGCTGGGCATGTCAAAAACCTCCCTGCTTTGATCAAGACTTTAGGGAGCCTTTCAGCCCCTCTAGTAAAGGGACTGGAAAGCAAGCTTTGAAAATGCAGTACCATCTACATGCTGTCATGTTCCAGACACTGCTCTCAACCACTCAGGGCCTGCACAAATACCTGCAGAAAGAAACAATTGACTTGGTGCAGGCAGTAGATTACAAAACAGCAGTTTGAAAAGAACACACTGAAAAGTTACCGAAGTAACGAGAAAGCACATGAGGTCTATGACAAGACCAAGGCCCTGTGCAATGATCTTGATATTCCCGAAACTGTGACGCAGAGGAAGAAGCGTAGAAACATGGAATACTTTGTAGTCAAGGCATCATGTGGAGCAATGTGAAACATTAAACATAAATAAACTGGTGTATAAAACTCGCATACCTGCATTTCAATGGACAGCATAAAAGGACTCGTGAGCTGGGTTCTGGTGCTCAGATTAACTCTTGATGATCACGTTGATAAATCATATAAAACAAATAGCCAATCACACTAAAAACATGTTGCTGTGACTGTGAGCATTAAACATTAAACTAAACAAACACAACAGTACGTTATTGTCCTTATAAAATAAAAACATACATTTTGTCCACCGAGATAATACAGGCACCTTACCCTCAAGAGATCCTCACGTGCTATGAGAATCTCCCACAATCCATTGCCGTAACAAAGCTTTTTGTTTGTGACACCAGATGGCGCAATTGTGTATGTGCGTGTGGGGAGTCTTGCAGTAGAAAATGTGACTGTAGCGCCGCCACTGTGGGCTAAGCCCCGAATGTTTCCAGGTCCAGGCGACGCCCCTGCACAAGCCATCTCCTTTTTGGATGTCCCAAAGGACATAATTGGTAATGCAGGAAAGGCCTCCATCACTGCTCTTGCCATCTACACACCAACACACAGAATCACACTTCTCATCTGCGCTACATTGTTTTTGCCAGTAAAATTACAACATTGAATTGATATTTCAATAAAAAATGATCAAACTATTAATAACTAATAGTTGTAATGAGGTAATTAACACAACTTGAAGAATGTACATGACAAACTACATGGGTTGTGTCAACAACCAGCCCTCTTATCACTTTTACACAATTCCCCTAAAAAATAAACTGAAAATTGATAATTCAGAAACTAATGACTTATTTTTTAACATCATTGACTATTTTATACTTTAAACTTGTATAATAATCAAGACACTGAAATAAATATAAGAATATATATGTAGCAGAAGCATACATATTACATATAGTAGTTAAAGTAAAAAACTACGTTACCATGGTAACAATGACCCCACAGCTACTGCCATCACGTTGAACTGGATGGTGCATGGTTGCTCCTCTCCATTTGACAGTCCTCCTTGCCATAGCAGGTCCTCCTCATCTTGAAGTATTCCCTTTGTAAAACACATTGTGGAATAGTCTCTAATGTAACTCCCAACAGACACATGTAGAATACAAATCTTTAAATATTGTGTAAAATAAAAACACTCCATCCCAACAGTATGGACACTGGAAAATATTGTAGGTTACCTTGCTTACTGAGCTACTTCATTTAGAATTGTGTACACAGATACTAAGGGCGGGATAAGGAAATATCATTTAAAAAACAGCTGAGACCACCAAGCACAAAATAAATGCTTCAGTGGTGTGGGTTTGGGAACTTCTGTTAACATACTTATGTTTACTTAAACACAAAGCACTAAATATAATTCTAAGATCACTTTATATCTAATTTGCTGACTTACCGTACTCTTTTCGCAGCATTTTCCGAGTCTGCTTTCTCTTTGGAATTTGCCGCTGGATCCACCAAAAATACTGATCTTATAGCAGGAAATAAGTACTACAAAAAAGGGATGTTATTTCAAAACAGCATCAAACATATATACATATTTAAATGAAAGGGATTTCTGAATGAAAACAATCACTAACCAGCAACTTCCAGTGTGTTCTTTCAATATTTACAAAGGCGATCACGGCTTGATAATCATTAAAGTTGATCTATAACAGCAATAAAAATACTTTTAAAAAAGTTTTCGTAGGAATATGATGCCTTATTTTATTAAAAATAAATCATGGTGTTTGAATTTGTATATTAAATTACAAAATAGAAAACCCAAAGTACTATAACACAGCCTCGCCTACTGATTTCAAATGTGTGCTCTAAAATCATATTTATAAATGACTATTATCATTATTATAAGCAAGACAATAAATGGCAAAGATATGTAGAAAATAAACGTATTTGAGATACGTTCATAAGAAACGTAACGTGGGAGAAAATATGTTGCTAGAAGATATGTAGAAAATAAACGTATTTGAGATACGTTCATAGGCAAGGCAAGGCAAGTTTATTTATATAGCACTTTTCAACACAAGGCAATTCAAAGTGCTTTACAAAAATGAAAGACATTAAGAAAATGGCATTAAAAATCAGTCATTAAAAGAAAAGCTAATACAATAAACATTAAAAAATACATGGATAAAAGATACAGTGCAGTCTAAGATATGAATAGTTCAATTAAAAGCAGCGACAAAAAGAAAAGTCTTCAGCCTGGATTTAAAAGTAGTCAGAGTTGCAGCGGACCTGCAGGTTTCTGGGAGTTTGTTCCAGATATTTGGAGCATAATAACTGAACGCTGCTTTACCGTGTTTAGTTCTGACTCTGGGGACAGAAAGCTGAAGATATTCAATAGAAACATAACGTGGGAGAAAATGTGTTTCTAGAAGATATTTAGAAAATAAACGTATTTGAGATACGTTCATAACGAACGTAACGTGGGAGAAAATACGTTTCTAGCTAAACGTAATTGAGAATGCAGTTTAGTTCTGTGGGAACGTACTTTTTAGGAGACAGGGTTGAGCAGTCAAACATGGTGGTGGAAATATTACATTCTCTAGGAGTGACTTTGCCATTGGATTACTGAAAAAAATGACAGTAAAAGTAGTTCATATTATTTTCGCAAGTAGTCCTAGAAGTATTAAGTACAAACATGGCAGTTTCATAAACTACTTATGTAAGAAATGTTTTTTAGACCACATTAAAGTTGACAAAAATGCTCATTCTTGTTCTCCGGAGAGGACTTTGAAACTCAAATTACTCAAAAAGTACACAGTAAACATAGTTCATATTATTTTTGCAAGTAGTCCTAGAAGTATTAAGTACAAACATGGGTGTTTCATAAACTACTTATGGAAGAAATGTGTTTTATCCCACATTAAAGTTGACACAAATGCTCATTCTTGTTCTCTGGAGAGGACTTTGAAACTCAAATTACTCAAAAAGTACACAGTAAAAGTAGTTCATATTATTTTTGCAAGTAGTACTAGAAGTACTAAGTACAAACATGGCAGTTTCAGAAACTACTTATGGAAAAAATGTTTTTTATCCCACATTAAAGTTGACAAAAATGCTCATTCTTGTTCTTTGGAGAGGACTTTGAAACTCAAATTACTCAAAAGGTACACAGTAAAAGTAGTTCATAGTATTTGTGCAACAAGTTTATGAAGCAATAAGTCCTAACATTATTCTCATAAATTACCCTGTTCCTCAATCGCAAATAATATAATTGAACCACATGCCATCCTTTACTTTGAAATCCTCACCGGAAGTGTTCCTGCACATACGAAACGTCCAGCTTCCCAGGGTTGTTTTATTGCATTACCGTAAACCTGTAACTAATCGCGCACTCGAAATACAGGGGCGGCTGGTTTGACCACGCAAAAGTGAAAGACGGCTGGCTTGACCGCAGTTGCAGGGGTTGGGTTTTCAGCATGTCAACTCTTTCACCTGTGGGGAAATTGCCGGATTGGCTCCAGGTCGCCCATTTTATTTACTACAAGACAAATGTGCCTTTTTATTTCATACAGTTCAATTTGGATTGAGACAGGGAAATAATCTAAACCTCACGCATGGCGTTTCACTGTCAAGGGGAGCGTGTATGTAATTACATTGCAAACATTGACTTGAGCCCCACCACTGTATGGGTTAGCCGGCCCTACCATAGATTACCCAACACAAATAGTAGGCTTGTTTGAGACGCGTTGCGGCTCGCCTCGAAAGTAGACGAGAATAGCCGATCGTAGCCGGGGAGGTCTCAAAAAGCTTGCCTGAAGTCGGACAGCTCGGAGTCGGCTTCGTCTTCTTCTCTCGGTTTTTTGGCGGATTGCAAACAGCTTGAAGGTGCATACTGCTGCCTCCGGAGTCGGCTTGACTCGGTTTGCATTTATAAAGAATGCACACATGTGTTTAATCGTTAATATCAGATATGTACTAAGTAAATACATTTGTTCCTGCTCAAGATTAGATTCAACGTTATTGTTATTGCACATATTACAGGTACTGAGACAACGAAATACAGTTTAGCTCCTAACCAGGTGCAACAAGCAGTAAAGTGAAAAGAAATGTACACAATAGACAGAATAAAATATAGAATGAATTGAATGATGAATAAACAGTGAGGGGTATGAATACACTAGATATACACAGCAGCCTGAGAGCAGTATGAACAGTGTGTATGAATATGCTAAGATATATAAAGTATGAAAACGGTAAGCAATGCAAGTATAGTATAAAATATATGGATATTAATTTAATGATGATAAATATTGTGGAACAATGATGAAAAATGTGAATGGATGTGGCGACGTAAAACTGACACAAAACAACAACAAACTTTTGCCCAGCCAATTGGAGAGTTTCATCACCAGCACGTGGAAAAAAACCACCAATGAGCGCTCAGCTCGAGATACCAGCGAGTCGTTTCCCATCAAGCATTTCGCTTCCGCAGTCCGTGGAGAGGAACTGCGCCGCCTCCCCGGCCTCGCTCTCAAGGCTGCGGGCGTCTTTGTCCCGCGAGATTTCAACGTCTCATGTATGCGAGCCTCCAGAGCAAGTCGGACAAAATGACTAACCATCATGCAACGCACGAGCAAGACGTTGATCGAAATTGCGCAGGTCTGCGCAGGTCTCGCTTGTCTCAAACGTCTCAAACTATGGCGTTATATTTGTGCCTCTATCCTGAGCACGCAATGAAACATGTTGAGCATAGAAAATGCTATTGAGCGCGCACTTGAACAGTTTTGAGCACAGAGAAATATATTTTCTCTCATAAAACTCCTGCTCTGTGCGCAAGCAGACCGCTGCACGCGCTCTCTCTCCCCCGCTCGCTCGACCTCTCCAGCCTGCGCGCGCTCAGCTTTGCCTGCGCTCGCTCAAGTTGTCACAGCGTTACAAATGTGCCACAAAACCAACCAATCGGAGAACTCGAGAAGGTCAATTCTGATTGGCTGGTCCAGCGCCATGTTGAGAGAAGAGTGCTCCAGCGGAAGTCCAAAATGCTTGATCGTCACGTGGTTCAGAGAGACTCAGAAAGTTCCCGGAAGTTCGTGGCGGGCCATTTCAATTACGATTTGAATGCATTAATAACAGGATATAAATGCAATTTTTGGTAATTAGTGGTCAATAAAGGTTTTGATTTGCAATATTTATACAACATATCGATATGTGTGTAGTTACATCAATGTGTTTTTTTGTTTAAATGTGCTAATATTTGAGGATTAAGATAAAATAAGAAGTAGCCTACTTTATTGATACCAATTGGGGAAATGTTTACGCTGCAGCAGCAAAAGACAAGGAGGCATTGTACATTACAGTTAAAAGACTATAATTAAACAATCGAAAATGTAAACATCTTAAATAGAAATAACATAGCATTACAACGTAGAAAATATACATAGTGTAAACAGCTATCTTACCTGTTAACATACATGTTAGGCTAACGTTGCCTTGGTTAAAGAGCCTGTTGTTTATTGCTTTGAATTCTTTAAAACAAATATTATCTTCTTAAACTTGTATGGTAGTCAGGAGCATCACATCCTAATGTTTATTGATATATTTAGAGGGTGGGAAGGAAGGTTTACAAATTCTGATTAGATACATTTCTACCATTTCTTTAATTCATGGTGGTTTTAGTAATCCCTTGGTAATTGAGGACACAAGTAATCTAAAGTACTAATGTAATCTTTATGACTTTCAGAAAGGACAGGAGACCCACAGTGCCTATCAATGATTGTCAACTGACAGCACAATGAGTCAAAGGACTAGCAGCAGCAGCAGCATGATGATGATGTTACATGTGTTGTTTTTGGAACATCCATTGTAAATAAATGGAATTCAATAAACATTGAATAGCATATCATGCAGTTTGTCTGAGCCTTTTCCTCTGTGTTGTCCTGGCATATAGTCTCCCCCATGGTTTGCTGTGCTGCCTAGGGATGCTCCAAGCGCTCAGAGAAAGGAGTATGAATGTAAGGTTTCCCCACTGACACAGAGAGGAGGAAAGAATGGCTGGCTCAAGTCAACAGGAGCAATTTAACTATCACAAAAGACAACAACAGCAACAACATATGTGAGGTAATCATATTTTTCACAAAACGAAGACCACACCATTGGGAAGCTTAACGTCTGTTTAATCAAAATAAGGAACAGGGAGAGGCTTGCAAAGCTCTGGGAGTTAAGACTCAGGCTCAGGGTGAGGGTCTCATTGCAGGTCTTCAGGCTCCATTGAATCCCCCTGGGGTTATTGTGCTGAAAGAGGGAGACAGGAGAAAGGGTTAGATACATCTAGCAACCTATAGGATGGGAAATTGCTGACCTATTTTAAACTTACCTTGTGTTTTCACTCTCACTTAAGTCCCTCTCCCTTTGCCATCAATCCAAAATCAGCTGAGCTGCAATATAATACAGACAGGTAATAATCAACAGAATCACAAGGACATAATATGGCTCTGCTAAAAACACTCACCCATAAGTTACGTTTTTGTTTACTGTTTGGAAGTCTCAAATATCCACTCTAAATCCATATCAATGGCGATGTATCACACAAATAGCTCTTCCTTATTATTGTGTAACGTTAACTATATTATACTAGCTGGAACTCCAAAATGGATATCCTCATTTCTCCACCCACTACAATCACACGCCCCAATGTTATATTTAACTAATATGTAACTCCCTCCACCCCGGATAAAAGCACGT